CCGTTAATTATTTTTAGGTAAATCTACATAAAATTTTTAGTATATTTGTCATTTAATTTCATTAATATATTTATTTTGATTTCCTATTGGCTTATCTGTGTCCTTACTGAACTTAAAAAACAATTATTTCATGCACACTGTTAGCAAGCTGAAGTTTCTGTTCTGTGAAATAGAGAGGGGGAATTAAATTAATATCTAAGAAATCTATTATTTTCTAAATGTGACTAAATCACCAGATGTCTGCCATAAAACCTCATTGTTCTTGCAAACTCTAAAGCATAGTTTTTAAGTTCTCTCTTCCTGTATCATCCTGTATTATTTTATCTCTTGATTCTCTTGATGCTTTTCTTTCAAGTCTACAAATTTGATCAGAATCGTTTAATTAGAAACCACAATGCTATAAATAGTAGTATATATAAAATTCTGTACATCAAAGGGCAAGCATATAAATAGGATTTTCTCCTCAATTTTTTTTTACAAAAGACTTTGTTCTTTTTTGATGGAAATTGTTATCTCTTCCAGCAAAACTTATTAAAAAGCATCTAAGTGCTTTCTTAAGGATACTTCTAAAGGAAAAAACACGTTACAAGGAATTGCACATTGCATTATGATATGTTTTCAATTATTTTTCCTTATTTTATGAGGAAAGATATTAGTCATCATGCTACTGTGCTGCTTTCAATACTCAACTAATTATACACAATGTGAGAAAAATGTCTAAATTTTTCTTTTCAAAATTCTTGTTAGTTTAATTATTTGTAAGTGTTTCACTGGTGATTAAGGTATTTGACCTATTTGAAATGAAAATCTTCCAAACACATTTAAGGTTACCTCCAGTGCAGTACAATGATGTTGATCTGCAGTGATGTGTGTTGGTTGTAGTTTGATGTACATGGATTCCCTTTGCAGATGCTCATTCTTTAGGACCAGTTTCTGGAGAAAGCTGAACCCCAGCCAGAGTACCAAAAGGACATCATTATTCAGTTGTGTTTCTTTGTAATAATAAGTAGTCATATTTGGTACTGATTGCCCATCTCCTCTGTTACTGCGGTGATCCCTGAGACATGGAGCAGGTGATTTAAAATAATTGGAATCACATTGCTCTTGGTTTGGCAGCAAGGTTTGCGTACCACTTTTGTTTTTCTAGAATTCAAGTTTTTAATCTTTGTTTTAGATAAAATAGCATTGTGCTTAGTGAATTGAAATAATCCTTTCCACTCCATTTACTTTTGATTCCTTTCAGACATTCACTGAGATGCTTAAACTTCACAAACAGAAGTTAGCTCTCACATAGTTGCATTGGATGCATGGGATGCTTAGTATTTTCTTCCAGAGGGGCTTGCAGGGTAATATAATTTATGTGCCACTAGAGATTGCATCTAAAATTACTGGAGCTAATTTCAGAATTGTTATTGATGTTTTCCTTCTTCAGTTGCATGACATTAAAATTTCAGAACTTTTTGTTTGTGTTGGAGACATGTCGTTGTGCTCTTCCATTAAGTTGTTAGCTTCTCCTTTCCTGGCTCTTGTTCATGCTCTGCATTGAGTACATCTCTTCTGGTCTCCAAGAACTCCCCTTTTATGACTCAGTTGTTGGCCGTTGATGTGTCAAGCTGATGGTTGTTGGAAAAGCCTCAAATTTTCCAAGAAAATTCCTTGGTTTGAGAACTGAAGGACATAATTAATTGTCTTGCTTCAGTGATTTAGAGAGACCTTTGCAGGTGTCTTTCTTGTTACTTCTGCTTGAATGAGGTGGTATAGATAAAAAGTAGTTATTTCCTTTCTTTGGGTTCTTTTATTGACATATGTCTATGAATGTAAGCTTCCTTTGCAGCTGGCCAGTTTACCTATTCACTGAGCAGGCAGGTAGTTGTGCTTAAAAATAATGTAGAACCAAGACTTTTAAAAATCCATTTCTTTATTTTGTGGTTCTTAACAATTCTTCTAAATATCTGGTTATCTTAAAAAAATATACTGACCGGAACTCTTAAGGGATAGGTTTTTTTTATGCTGAGTGAGATTTTTTGTCTGCCATTGAAGGTGGGAATCTGTCTTCCTCTTCAGTCTCTCTTGGGTGTGCCCTCTGTCTTCTTTGCATTGCATCTACCTCATGGTTATTTGGGTCAGCTTATTTGTCTGACAAAAATTGGACCCACTCCGTGTGATGATTAATTTTCTGATGCTGATCAGACTTTCTGGCTAGTCACATGAGCTGACAAGGGAGAGTAGGTGGGAACACATGGCCAGGATGGGGCAGAACTGTTCGTTTTTGGCAGCAACCCACAGCATGCAGTGTGACAGTGCTTTACAAACACATATCAGGGCTGAAGGAAGGGCTGCAGTTCCTGGAAAGGGCTGAGTTTGTCAGGCTATCCAAAATGTTTTGGTATCTCAGTAGGCTTGAAATACCCTTGGGATACACTTGATTGCATTTGAGCTTAAAATTAATGGTAAGCTTTCTGGGTTTGTGTCACGAGTCTTGGGAGATGGTTACATCTGTGTAATTTTTTTCGTAGTAATTTATTAAGAGGTATTTTCTCCCTTTAATCCACATCAACAGTTTCTGTCAGGGAGTAACTGGTCCAAGGTCACCTTAGAAATACATTAGCCTTCTAATTGTTTATATTAGAGACATGTTCAAGAGCGGAAATCTCCTGGACCAAATCAATATGGTGCAATATACCTAGTGGTTAAAAACCAAACCAAAACAATCTAGTCATTTTTGTTCTTATGGTCTATGAGGTGAATACATTTTAATGACAAATGTTACATTTAGTGTATGTACATCTAGAAATCCATGTTAGACTTTTTCTGTTTTTACTGACTAATTGCCTTTTGGTACCAGCATATGATTGTATAGAAGACTTGGTTGTACTGTGTAAAGAAATCTAAATGATGGCATATACTGTTAACAAACAGAAATAAAAAGGTGCTGTAGAATGTTCTTTGCATTTAATAATGTAATGATGATAAGCAAACAACTGGACTGCCATTACTCGTTGATCAGAAGGAGGTTGTTGCAGTGCAGGTAGGTAAATGAAGGTTAGTTAAGGTTAGCAAATGTGCTGCAGTGGAACAAGCGAATGACAAAACTACCATTTTATGTTACTTGATACTTGGCCTGTCACATCCTGTTTGTGAGCAGCAGCTTAAGAATTCACATCTAGCAAGGGAAGATGAAATTTTAAAATCATTCAAAGCAGACTCTGCAGCCTGAGAGGTAAAAAAGAAACAACAATCGTAATGTGATAATTTGTTGATGGTTATTTTTGCTATATTTGTGGTTGCATAGCTGCTGCAGGCCAGAAATAGCTAAATGATGGTCCTACATGTGGGTGCCGTATGTGCTGTGGGTGTCTGTACATTCTGTGGTGCCTTTCATTGCCAGCTGGCTTTGTCTTTTTTATGTTTGTTGGCTTGCTTTTTTATTATTTTTAAAATCTTTTTTGGATAGAAAGTAGGCTTTTAATATTGATGGTAATTAATCACTGAAATTATTTGCCCAGATAAGCTAAATTATATGTTATATTCAGTTAGTTGGTCAAAGACTATTCAGTTGAGCAAAAAAGAAGGTCTTAAATCATTCAGAAATTATAAGAACCACTTAGCAAAGACCTATGGCCTCTGTTAGATGTAATGGGGATAGCTGAAAGGGTATCTGACACTGAATTGTATCTTCTGAGGCATTTTCTAAGAAGCTTTCCAGTTTTATTGTATCCTTCTGAAGTGTAATGTAAATGTGTGGATTTTCTTGTCATGCAATTTTGCATGTACGTCCTCTGCAGTGACGTGGCATTTTTATAGAGTGCCCTCAGCCTGAGGGTCCTCTGCTAAGAGAAGCTGTCCTGACATTTGTTTTTTTTTTTAAAGCATTCATCATGTTTGTGGAAATGTATTCATGGTTGTTGTCTTTTTTGTTTATTAATACTCATGCTTATATATGTAGACATAAAAAGAAAATTTTGCTGTAGGGCAACTAAAAATGTAATAATCAAAAAAGTCATGGTTCCGTTGACTTTCTGTTCCTTTCCAGGGAAACTGGTATTCTCAGCTCTTCTGGATTTAATGCCTATCGAAAGCCTGCCAGTAGTTTTAGAGAGTGAATTTGATGATTCACATTATCCCATCCTGTCCTGTGTTTCCCAGAGTTTTCAATAAATCATTTGTTACAGTTGTACTATCCTGTATTGTATTTATTTGGAGAAGTGTAATTTAGAGTTGTAAGTGGTTCCTCAGTGTTTCCTCTTAGGTCCTCTGTCTACATGCTTCAAATCTTATTGTGCAGATTTCAATGGAAAGAAAATAAGAACAAAGTTGATACTCCTCCAAAATGTCTGCAAGTAGCTTTTCTTATTAATTAGCTACATAACATGACTGTTCTGTTTCTTGAGAGTTTTCAGGTCTAGAAACAAGTGTTGTGTTTCTATTGGATAGCTGAGTATTTTCTTCCGCTACTATTAGAATAAAACACTGTTTCTGGCAGATTATGAGTTATGAAGTATTTCCATGTTTGTCTTCTATAGGACTGTGAAAGGAATTCATTTGGGGAAAATATATGGCAAAGAAAGGAAGAAAAGAAAGAAAGATGTTTCTATCACCATTTTTCTTTGATTTTAGTGACTGCTCAGGGGGCTGGAGTTTTGGGAGCCTTTTAGAGGAGATAGGTTACAGGGTGGTGAGTCAGAGCTTTACAGAAAATGCAACTAATCGTATTTTAGCCCAATGCTATTACCTCACTATGTGGTCCTAAATGAGAGTCTGTCTGAATGAAGTTTCTGTCAGGTAATGTTGGTGAGAATTGTGAATGTATATGTGACTGACCAAACCAGTAACGTCTCAACTGTTCTCCACCGGTCAATGTCCAGAGTCACGTTAAGAAACATCTGTATACTTAGTATATATATATATATATATATATATATTTTGTTTCTGCATTCACAAACCAGTACAATATGTTTTGTTGTGGCTGAATAATAATTCCAATCTTTTCCCTATTGCAGTCTACCCACATTGCTCGAGCCAGCTTCCAGGTTGATGCTTTTGGATCATCTTTCATCCTGGATGTGACACTAAATCAGTAAGTAATGACCGTATCTTACTCTGCATTTGTTCAAGACCTGGTGCCAGTGAAATGTAATTTTTCAGTGGAGGTTTTAGAGGCTGTGTTATGACACAAATGCTATTTTAGGTAGTGAGTTGATCTATAGTAGTATATTGTAAGTTCTGTTATTTTGTCGAGTACCGTTGTAGGCTTTGATATTCCCATTTTTGATACTTAGTAGCTATTGCAGTGTAACTAGCATTTTAGTATTATAATTTCATTTCACAGAGTCACAGAATCACAGGATGGGTCAGGTTGGAAGGGATCACAGTGAATCATCTGGTCCAGCCTTCCTGCTCAAGCCGGGTCATCCTAGACCCCATGGCACAGAATTGTATCCAGACGGTTCTTGAATATCTCCAGTGAGGGAGACTCCACAATCTCTCTGGGCAATCTGTTCCAGTGCTCGGTCACCCGCAGAGTAAAGAAGTTCTTCCTTATGTTCAGGTGCAACTTCTGTGCATCAGTTTCTGCCCTTCGCCTCTTGTCCTTGTCCCTTTTCTTTGTCTCTTTGTGTCTTGGCACCACCGAGAAGAGCCTGACACCATCCTCTTGACACCCTCCCTTCAGATACTTATAGACATTGGTGAGGTCCTGTCTCAGGCATCTCTGCTCGAGACTGAATAGGTCCAACTCCCTCAACCTTTTCTCATAAGAGAGATGCTGCTGTCCCTTAATAATCTTTGTTGTCCTCTGTTGGACTTTCTTCAGGAGCTCCATATTTCTCTTGTACTGAGGAGCCCAGAACTGGACACAGAACTCCAGGTGTGGCCTTGCCTTCTTTCAGTTTACCATAAAAGCAAATTTCTCATACAGAGCCTCCCTGGATATTAAAAGGTGGATTTGCTGAAAACTGGTGGCTGTGAGCATTTTAATGACCAAGTGTAAACCAGACCAACGATTAAAATGTATTTTTTATTATCATTCCTGTGAAAAAATCGGTTTCATTCAGGAGGTTGTATATATTTTTCTTCTTTTGCAGTTCTTACTCTCCATAGTATATTCTGTGTGTATATTTTAAGAGACCTGAGAAAAAAACACTAATTTTTTTTGGGAAGTGGTTTGCAAATTTAGACCAACTTTATAGTTGAAAAGTCGTTGAATTCTTGTGAACAGCAAGGTTCAAGATGTTAGTTATTCTCTGGAAAAAACATCAGCTTAGTATTTATAACTCAACCTCTGCTAATATCTAAAGCATGCTGAAGCAGGCCCCTGTGGTAAAATTAGCTCTTATGTGTAATATGCATTTGAAAAATGGTAAAAGAGGTATGGGGGACAGAGTGGAGAGAAATAATTTGAAATACATAGATTATCAGAAAGGAGAGACTCTCCCTGATTTTGTCTGTCTTCTTTCTTGCAGTTTCCATGTTGTTTAAAGGTTGGCGTATATGACTTGTACATGTGAATATATCTGAGCATCATCTGCCATTACAATATCAGTGGTGGTCAGTCACAGTGAAAGTGTTTATTCCTCCATGTGGTTTCCCAATTTATGGAGGAAATAAAGTTCAAAATTAAAATGAGAGTAGCAAACAAAGACCTTAAAAAAACCCCAGAAACTAAAATATGCCCACCTCCTAATGATTGTCCTCAAATAGTTTTTCTTTTTTTTGTGGCTTTCCGTGTGGGCGTTATTTTCTCTATTCTCTTCAAATCTATCTTTTTATCTGACAGATTCTCTGTTTCCTTTGCTGCATTTGCCTGTGCTATCTCATACATCCCCCTGTTGTGTACCCTTTTGTCTTTTCAATTCTGTTGTGTTTGTGTATTTTCCATCTCTGTTCTTACTCAGTTCTCCAGCATCACACATTTCGTTCTCTTATCTTTACATCAGGAGTAGTTGTCCACTTTTTCATCACCACAGGTACCACACAAAATTCTTGTTTTACTTGCAACCTTTTCCTTGGCAACTTTCTGTACACTGACAGTTCAGGCTGGCAGAAGTGTTCGCCATCTCCTACTTGTCTCTCTCCCCCCATTGCCTGATACCCTCTGTTTTATCTCTTCACCAAAGGACATGCTACTATTAAGCGCAGCATTGCTAGCCAGTCAAAGCAAGTCCTGCCCTACTCTGCACTGGTGTGGCCTCACCTTGAATATTGTGTGCACAATATAAAAAAGACATGAAGCTATTAGAGAGTGTCCAAAGGAGGGCCACAAGGAAGGTGAAGGATCTGGAAGGGAAGCCTTACAAGGAGTGGCTGAGGTCACTTGGTCTGTTGAGCCTGGAGAAGAGGAGATTGAGGGAAATCTCATTTCAGTCTACACCTTCCTCGTGAGGGGAAGTGGAGGGGCAGGCACTGATCTCTAATCTGTGGTGACCTGTGACAGGACTTGAGGAAATGGCATGAAGCTGAGTTAGGGGAGGTTTAAGTTGGGTTTTTTACCCAGAGGGTGGTTGGTTGGGCACTGGAACGGGCTCTCCAGGGAAGCGATCTCATCACCAAGTCCGACAGAATTCAAGATGCATTTGAACAATGCTCTCAGGACATGGTGTCACTCTAGGGATGTCCTGTGGTGTCCTCTAGGGCCAGGAGTTGAACTCAATGATGCAAATGATTACCTTCCAGCTCAGGATATTGTATGATTCTGTTTCCTAGATTTCCTAGATCCTTTCCTAGTCCCTTCCTCTGCCACCTCTTACAAGAGTGGCCTGCAACCAAAGGCTGATTTCTGCAGTAAACAAGCTGGGAAACGAGGTGGACAGGGAAATAAAAAGAAGCAGAGCTTACGCTGACATTTCAGACATTAAGAAAACTGAGGCCTGGGACAGGAGTGTTCTGCAAGTTCTGGATGCAAGTGAGAGGAAGGAAACAAAAAAATGTCCAACTGGCATTAAAGTGTGGCAGTTTTAATTTAACACTGAAATCTGTGTGCTTTCTCTTGCTCACTTTGGATCTCAACCAGTTGTGAATGTGCATTTGTTCACATTAAATGCAGATGTGAAATACACTGAAGCATAATGTGGAATTATAATAAAAAATAATAATAAACAGTTATAATTATAGTGCAGTTTCCTTTTTTTTTTTACAGTGATGGTGGTATTTTCTCCTCATAAGTCACCATTTGTTCTCTCTTCCTTTTTTCCCCAGAGTTGCCATAGTGTCTCTACAATGAGCTTTTTTTAAGATACAGTGTTTCTTTTTAGCTTTTTTTGCCTGTTCAACTGGCTGAAGCATTTACAAAAAAGCTTTCAGATCGAATCAGCTGTATTTTTAAAAGGTTCAATCCCTTAGGCAGAGGTTAGGGACACATTAGTTGCGTTGGTGTGTTTACGAATCCGTTGCCTCGGTATCCTTATGCGTTCAGGGCTGCATCTAATGGAGCTGTTTTCTCTGGCTATTCCTTGTTAGTGCTGCCTCCAGCACCAGCAGAGCCGGGGCCAGCTGGCCGGGCAGTGCAGGCAGGTGCTGCTCGCAGCCTTCCCACTCCCCACATGTGTCCAGCGCTGGCCATTGACCCAGACCTGTGCAGGAGTCACAAAGCAATGGTGTGCTTCCTCATTTTTTTTTTTTAATTCCTTCCCCTTGAAATTTTTAGTACTGTCATGTCATCCATGGCTCAGCAAATGACTATTTCTTTCTTCATGCAGAGTATTTCTTCTTAAATGTATTTTTTCTTAAATTACACTCTTATCTTGGGTTTTAATTATGTGATTAAGCAGCAGAGCTCATCAGGAAATGGGACGTGTTTCTGAAAGCCTCTTTGAGGCCCTTTTGGTCCTGCAGCCCATGTGGATCTGTCTGAGGGGACTTGGGCCAGGGCATGTTTGTCTGCAGGTGAGGCAACCAAGACCTGATGGCATGATGGCCCAAAGCAAGCTGTTGTCATGGGGTTGGTTTTGGAAGGAGCATGCTGCCAGATGGGTAATCAGAAAAACTGCAGTATCTGTGCTTGTCTGGAGAGTGGATGGGCTCTGGGTGATCACCCCAGGTTCACTTTGTGGTAGCCATCATAGGTAAGAAAGATGCAGCATCAACCTTCATATAAGGGCTGTGATGTCTCCCATCATGGAGACAAGCAGAGAGTGTTTCTTAAGGATGAGTTTGAAATGTGGTCCCTTCTGAGGTGCAGTGTGGACACCAGGTGCCCTGGTGAGGAGATGTTTGGTCTTCAGAAAGCTCCCTGAAGCATCTAGCTACCTGCATATACTCTGGCTTCTCATGTTGTAACAAAAAAAGCCCTCCCTGATCATATCTTTTTTTTTTTTTTTTTTTATTTTTTTGGTGAGAGTGAACACATTGATAGCCTGGGATCCTCAGGTTTGTGGTGATGAGGAAGTACTCTAAAGGGTCACAAGCATAATTAAGGATTTCAAGTTTATATTCAGTGCTTCAGGACTGCTCTGTCCTTCCTGGTGATGCTCAGTCACTTGGATGGAGCATAATCAAAACCTGCTTTCTCTTTTTGTAATGCAAATTTAATTCCTCTGGTCCATGTTTTAGTGGAAAGTAATCTGTAAAGAAGTAGTAGGCTGGGCAAGATGTGGTCGGAAACTGCCACTTTAGGAAACTCACACGTCTTCTCTTCCCATTGAACAGCTGGCTGTGTCCCAAAGGAGTACCAACACTGTGTATAAATTAATGGGCACGGTGATCAACTACATTCAGAAGACTGAAAAACTAAACATCAGGCAAATTTTAAAATCTCTGCAATCATTCTCTTCTCTATGTGGAAAATAAACACCCTTTTCTCTTAGTTTATCAAAAGGTGGGCAAAAGCAAAAAAGCTTTTGAATATTGAAAATATTGATAGATCTTTTGTATATATCAGTCTTAATTTAAATTATTTCTGGTTAGTAATACTGGAAGGTTCCTGGAACTCCAGCAGTTGAATTATTTTGCCTCACCACTGAATGTTTTTTGCAGCTTCTGCTGAGAGGCATACAGACATTCCTCATGCTTTGTGGGGAATGTTTATTAGGAATGTCTTTTAACTAGTTTTGCAAACCTTACAGAATCAGATTGTAAACTTCA